GGTGAACGTCGAGGAACACGTTTCCAGCGGACATTTTGGAAAAGTTTAAATGTGCTCGTGCCGGGACACGTTCCTCTAGAAGATGAAACATTCTCGGAAGCCGCGCTCTTAAAGCCGTGCTACTAGAATCTCGTTTCTTGGAATTGTCCCGGGTAAGCACGCGCGTCTATAGATGTGATAACAGCATTAGATGACTACTGATTTACGGAAAGTTCTGGATGAAAGCATGAAAATCGTTAACTACATTAAAAGCCTTCCTTTGAATACACGACTTTTTTTGAAAATATGTGGTGAAACGGGAAGTAGTCATACCCAGCTTCTTTTTCATTCTGTGTTCATTGGCTATCTGGAGCAAAAATTCTAAATCGATTGTTTGAACTTAGACATGAACTTTAATGTTTTTTAATGATAGATTTGAGTTGGGAAATTGCTTACATGACTGGAAACGGCTTTGTAAACTAGCATAATTAGCAGATATATTCTCTGTTTAAAACTGCCTCAACTTATCATTACAAGGTAAAGAAGTTTCACGTTCAAGATAATGCTGCCATCACAAAACTAAATTTATGACAAAAGAGAGTTGGTGATGGAGAAGTAGACTCGTTTCCCTCTTTTCATGAGTTTTTAACAAGTTCGACTATTAAAATTAATGCCGATACTCTGAAATGCATAACACAGTATTTGGAGAGTTTGCAAGTGGGCTTGAAAAACTACTTCCCTGATTTAAACAAAAATGTTGTATGGATAATATATCCATTTAACATTAACACAACATCCATGCCAGAAGATCTGGTTACAAATGCAGCATGTGTATCCAGTTTTAACAGAAAAAATTCTGAAATACTTATTGCCTTTCCAACCTCATATTTATGTAAAGTTGCTTTTTTCATCATTTGTAGACATTAAGTCAAAAAAAAAAAAAGGGGGGGGGACAGACTATTGGACATAGAACCACATCTTCAGATTGAAATTAACAACCAGGGAATCAAATTATGATGATCTGTCATCTCAGCACAAACAATTTCATCCTTCTCATTAATTCAAATAAATGTTAGATAGAACTTTTATTTATATTTTATCATGAATAATTTTATTTCTCTTTTCTTATTATTTTGTATATGTCACACAAAAAAAGAAAAATATATTTTGATTGTTATTAAAATACATCCATTATTTTGACAAGGGGTACTCAGCATTATGAAAATTATAGAAGGGGGACACATATGCCAAAAGTTTGGAAAACAGTGCTCTAGAGAGATAGATATCCATTGAATCAACCATTGAATAAAAATTGCTGTCACATTAAATTTCTGCATATAATTACTTAAAAACTAAAATGATGAAGAAAAATTTATGCAACACAGGGACAATTTCATATGCAATAATTAGAAAAGTTATGAATATTAAAATCAATAGCTGAAAATAATATGGTATAAATAAGTAATAAATAAATAAATTATAAATAACATAAATTATAAAATTTATTTCTTATTTATACATATATAAATTATAAAATTTATTTATACATATTTTAATTGTATTAGCATTTATATGCTTATGACACATTTTATGAAATAGTTTTCATTTTAAATATTAGTAATTTAAAAAAATAACTTGCAACTATCTCATAAGATTCACTGAATGTTAATTATGAAAAGATAATTAAAGAAATCAGTAAGAGCTCCAATTTTCTGAATGGTAGTTGTCCAGTACACTTGCTGTTTCAGAATATGTGAAATTCAACTTTTTTCTTAATTTACTTTTTAAAATTTTTTTCATAAGTTTAAACTACATATGAGGATTATGCAGCACAATATATGCTTTTTTAAGAAACTATTAAATAAATTTGAACAAAAACGCTTGATCTACAGTGCTTGACATAGCGTTAATGGAAATGAAATTACATGTCATAAATATGGTCTATTAACACAGTCATAAATACTGTTCTTTTTTTATGCTATGAGTCATTGCATAGCTGTAACAAGTGCTTCTTTTCTTTAATAAATAACTAAGTAAAGTTATGAATTTTTTTATGTAAATAAAGAATGTATTTTCATTTAAAATTTAATTTTACCATATAGTTTATATTTAGTGTCAGAGCATTTGTTTAAATAAAAATTAACTCCATTTTTTTTATTTTAATAGACAGAAAAATGGGTTCTGTGCTTAGAAAACTAAAGAATAATTTCATTATTTTTGGTGAGAAAAATATATGCTTTGTATTTCATTTTTAGGAACACATTTTTTTTAACTATATAACCTTTGTTCAAATAAAACATGATAAACAAAAAAGTAAAATTCATTTACTTTTGCAAAACAATAGATATGTATTAGGCCAAAGAAAAAGATAACCTAACTATCAGGACAACTTCAATCCCAGTTGACTTTGATATATGAAATTCTGCTCAAGTTACAGCAAAAACAATAAGCAATACACCTTAGAAACTACAAGTTATTAATTTTGTAAAACAAAATAAGCTGCTTTATCATTTGCCTAATTTTTTACAGCAGTTTTTTCTCTTTCTTTGCTTTCAATTTGCATAAAAAAATAAGCTTTTTTAAAGTTCTAACATATTTAAAAAATAAATCTTCTATGCATAGCATTGTTAAGAATCTTCACTATTTATCTATTTATTTTTATGCAATACCAGTACAGTTATCAGACAGTAATAAAAATATCCTTATTAATAAGGAATAATGAATTAGATTAATTAAATCTAAAAACTACTTACAGAGAATGTTGTGCAAGGTTCAATGCTTAAATGCTTTTAATAGATATGACTTTTTGTATGCAGTTTTAAACAAAATACATGCATCCCTCAACTTCGAAAATTCATGTATTAACAAAATTTAATTAAAATGCTATTCATCATATGCTTTCAAACTTTGATAGAAATGATAAAAACAATAATCTATTTAATTTTCTTAATATGAGCCGTAATTTAATTTATGACTCTTATTTCCAACAAATAGTATATATCATGGACTATGAATATGTTATTCATTGGTTGAAATATATTCAATATTAAAGGACTTTTAAAATTTTAAAATATTTATATGCAAATAAATTATGCATTTATTACTAATAAATTATGCATTTATTGGTATTTTCTAATGAAAATTATAATTTTCTCCTAACAATAACATTATGAAACTGATGCATCAAATAACAACTCTTCATCTACATAAAAAGAGTTTGATCTGAATAAAACATACATTTTTTAAAATCAGATTTTAGGTGCATAAGCATTTATAACTGCATGTAAAACAATAAGTTAATAAAAAAAATATTACTTATAAGAATGGGGGAATGCAAACTTCTATAATGTACTTAGCAATAAGCAATATTAAAAAAAATACTGTTATGTGTTTATTTTCTATGAAATATTTTATATTTATTTTTGCATATGTCTTCTTTCCTTTATGTTACTGTTGTGCAGTAAAACCTGTTGATCATGTAGGATTGAAATGCTGTCAGAAGAAGCAAAGCAAAACTGTCTACAAAATTTCACCATCTCTGTATCACTGAGCAATCTCCACAGATTTCATTTCTATTTAAGTTCTATTTTAATTTCATATTATATAGCTTAATTCTAATTTGCAAAACTGATAAACTAGGGTAATTGAACAGAAAATACAAGCTGTTTTAATAATTACTTCAAAAATTGATCAGATGATGTCATTTTAATCAATTTAATTAATGCAACTAATATTTTCAGTCACATTTAATTCTGGAAGCTTAAATCAAAACTTAACTGATTTATACAACACATTTCATACTTCTAATGCCTTCTGCCACATTTTCTGATCCCCGAATTTTACAACAAACAATATTTTAATATTATTCCCAGTTTGTTAAGAATCAAGTTATTTTATTTAAAATTAAATTTGAAAGATAAAATGCCTTGTCAAATGGCAATATTTGAGACTTTACTATTTGTAAGACATGGTGAAATATAAATTAAAGATATTAAGTTTTGTAGAATAACTATATTTGCCAAAATATGTGGTTGATAAATATATGTAATATTAAAAAAATTTGGAAAGTCTGCACTAAAGATCTCTAACACAAAAAAATTTCCTCACTTTTCAAAAATTAAGAACACAGTATATAGAATGCTATTTTAGGTGCTAGCATAACAGTTGTCAATTCTGTGCAAGTATAAACTACAAGAAAACTTCCTTTGACTTGAAAGGAACATAGTTTTTTTTTATTTTAAACATAGTTTTTTTATTTTAAAATAAATTTAGGAATATTAAGAAACTAATTTATAATTTTAGTGCAAAATATGGGAACTGCGATACTTTATAATTTATCTAATACAACTGATTTCATGCTAATTTCTCTTAACAATATTAGAGCAGCTTTTTTCGAACAATGGAAAAGGTCTTACTGTAATCTTAGAAAGATGAACAATATCACACAATCATAATCAATAAATGCAATATGATGCAAGAACTCTCAGCTTAAGTTCAAAAATATAAGGAAACACTAGAACAAAAATTAGATAGGATTTTGTGAATCATTATCTATTCAATACGTTTTACATGTTTCCGTTAAAGCCATATCACTTAGTTCTCACATAGTTCCTTGTCACCAAGACATGAACAAGTAGCTATCTTGTTTCTTCAAAAAGAGTTATTAAAAAATATCACTAAGACTGTATTTGAAATGAAATTAAGATGTAACTCAAAGCCAAAATGGCTAAGCAGCCTTCATCTCTGCCACGAAGAAAAAGGATGTTCCAAGTGCAAAAGTGGTTTGTTGGATCATGCATCATTACTGTCATGCTATTTATTTACTTATGGTGCCAGGAGTTAATGTATATTAAGTTTCGTGAACTAAAGCTTGCTTCAAATGAATCACAACACAATGGTTAATTACATGACAGAGGTTTTTGCAGTTTTTGTTATCTTGTCCTAACGTTAAAAATCAGTGGATGCAACAAAACTGTGGAAACCAATGAAACCTAATAAACAAATAGAATATATATATATGCCAAGTTCTTTTTTTAAGAGTGTTTTTTTTTTTTTTTTTTTTTTAATTTTACCATAAAATCAGAAATGTTTCCTTGCTGCTATTCCTGCTCGTTCGATTTCATCTAGTACTGAGTCAAAGGCCAGAGGAGAGAAAAGAACTAAAATGTGCCAATATGGCCCAAAAATGTATGATATGACTTTGACAGAAAACTAACATATTTTTAATTATTTTCAATATTTTTGAACTAACTGCATAAAAAAAAACGAAAATAAAATAATTTTTATTAATAAAGAAGTGCAGTGAAAGTAATAGTACTTCTTTTTTACAGCTAAGAAGTACTATTACATCAAGTACAGCAAAAATTTCCAAGCAATAACATAAGTAGCTTTCGAGTAATATTTCTCACAAATAGAAATCACTGACAATAATGATGTTAACAATATGTGAACTATTCCTCTCATAAATACAGACTAGCTTTTGCTGAATAGTTAATTGAAAAATGACAAAAATATGATTTAAGATTTCTATTAAAAAAAGTTTTAAACTTGCATAAATTTATAAAATTCACAATCTAAAACTTATTGACAAATCATGCTTCAAAAAGTTCCAAACTAATATTTTAACCATTCAACTTTCAAAATATTTATTTAGCACAGAAAAATTCTGCACTATGTCACATTTCTGAAATTGAAGAGTAGATACCTAACCCCTATTAAAATAGGTCTCATATTACACTTTAAAAAAGAAATTTGCAAATGCCTTTTATGGAAAATCTTGTAAAAAGTTTGTTATAAGGCCTTTTCTAAGTGATATATAATATAGCATATTGTACCACAAATCTCCAGTTTTAGTTACAAATCTAAATCCTTCTTATAATTATCACAAAAACACCAATATGATAAACACATAAAATTTTATAATAATAAAAAAGAAGACATGATGAAGTATAATTTTAAATATCTCAACTAAAATATAGTTTAACATTTCTTTCTGTGTGCAGATTAAACAAGTAACCTTACATGATTAATAAAGATTAATTTAACAAATTTTTCCACAACTGTACAAAAATATACTCATTATACCTTTTTGTAGCAACTGTATCAAATATCTTTAAACAACAAAACTGGGAAAGATAGCACTCTTTTTCTTTAGAGTACAGTGAATATGAAGGAATACCATATCCTTCTTGTTGATCCATGACAATAGGCACATGTGCAATCTTTAAAATATTTCAGGAAATATATACACAGTAACACTTGGCATATCAAGTATAATTTGCTTACAATAAGCTCTAGGTGATCTAAAAACTGAAAAGGAAAAAAAGAATCAATTACAGCTTCATCTTCCTCTAATTACAAAATTCAAGCACTAAAATGCTTTGCAATTCAATACAGAATTTTAAGAATTACAGCATATTTCAGATGGTAAAATTATGCATTAGTTCTTTCAATATGATGATTTTTTTGATTTCATACACTGGTTATCATAAATTAAGGAAAAATCGCGAAAATCACGATTACTGAAAACATTACATGTAGAATTTTATGAAACTTACCCACAATATACAACACATAGTAAGGTATCAAATAACATAAAAATAAATTACCAGACAATTATGGTAGTATAGAAATGAGCACATGTATAAAATGAACAAATCGAAGGTGTCAGTTTGCTATATGAAAAATACCTTCAATATGGAATATGGTTGCGTCTAGGAGCAATACAGCACTTACAGCGATGCGTGATGCTTTCAATTATGCGGTCTATCAGTTCCATAGGAAGTGACAGACATTGCTTTTGAAAAGCAGTTGCAAGCGTGGCAACGGTCTGAGGGGGTGGATTGAGAGCAGCTAGACATCTCTCTAAAGCATCCCAAATGTGCTCGATCGGATTCAAGTCTGGGGATCGAGCTGGCCACACCATGCGCATAATTGTTTCCTGTTGAAGATAATCATCTACGATGCGAGCCCTGTGTGGTTTTGCATTGTCATTCCATAACAGGAAAGCATCACCTATTGCCCCGGCACATGGGCACACATAAGTATCAAGGATATCATCTCTATAAATCGGAGCATTCACCGTTTCCGTTGGAAAGACATGGAGGTCTGTGCGTCCACCCAAAGAGATGCCACCCCAAACACGGACACTGTCTCTTCCGTATGTATCTTTTTAACAGATGTTTGATGGATGATAACGGGTCCCAGGTTCTCTCCATATCAAATAAAGCCTACTACAGTCAAAAGTCGTTAATTCGGACCTCAAAGCTACAAACTTTCTGCGCATGCGCCGCGTTGACGCATGTGCAGACTTTTACGGCTGCGAATATGCGTGTGCGTGCGAATGCGCGTAATACATTTACGCTTGCGCGTTTAATGTATAACAGACGATATAAGCTAAGCTAAAATTATCTAATTCAGTTAATGTTGCAGATTGCATTGTTCCTGAATCTTCGAATTGGATCCGGCTTATTATGTTTTGCAGACTGTTAGAGCAATTTTATAAAAGTAAGCTTGAACTTTCGATTATGTCAAATAGAATTTCCGATATATATTTACTAGTATGTAAAGGATCTACAAAGCAAAAGTATGTTTAGAAGTCCACTAAACAAAAAGTGGAATTGCTGCAAAAAATGGATAAAGGCATATCCTTCGTTTCTCAAACCATTCCGAAATCTGTTTATCAAATTCACGCTGCTCTGTGGCCCGGGGGGGGGGGGGGGGGGGGAACGACACGGCGTGCAATGAAGTGGAAGTTAACCTGTCAGCACTATCCTTATCTTCAGGGCAGATGTTTTTATTTTATTTCGCTCATAATTCCTTACTAAATGTAGTATTTCATCTCGATGTACTCCGTCTTTGATATGATTTAAATCAAATTCCTCATCATTATAATTCGCTTCCGATAAAGAAGAAAGTGATACAGAGGTTATTGAAAACAAAAAAATTTCGATTGACAAATTAGTCGGTATTCTCGACACAGCAATTATAGGACTTTAACAGCGAAACATTGTAACTGAAGAAGAAATTATGTCTGTTTATAGAATTAAAGAGAAAGTATTATCACATAAAACGTAGCAACTTAAACAACTTACATTGAAAGAAATGTTTAATAAAGTAAACAAATAAAGCTTTTTTTTTTTTTTTTTTTTTTTTTTTGTAAATTTTGATACTCTTTAGATCATAATTGTTCTTTATTTCATAAATTACGGTTTCATATTTTTAATTTTATAATTTCTGCATGCCATCTTACCAGATTTAAACTGATGATCTATAATCCGGAAAAATCGATAATCCGGAATTGCCGAAGTCCCTACGAGTCTGGATTAATGACTTTTGACTGTATCACTTTCTACACTAAACCTGGACTCATCCGTAAAGTGAACAGCCCTCTACTGATCAGGTGTTGAGTGAACATGTTGTCGTGCCTACTGCAAATGGTCCCTGCTATGGTGTGATGGGAGCAGCACGCAAACGACTAGTCATCTCGCATACAGACCACCTTCATGAAGCCTTCTACGCATAGTTGACATTGACACCAACTTTCCAGTGGCTGCAGCAAAGGAGGATCTAAGAAGGGTCCGAGTAGCGGTTCTATTCCTGCAGACACATAATGTCAAATATCGGTCATCGGCGCTCGTCGTAGCAGTTGGCCGTCCTTGGCTGAACCTCCTAGATGCCAAATCTGTGGTTTGAAATTGCCTCCAAAGTCTATGAACCACAGAAGGACTCACATTTAGCCATCTGGCCACATATGTTTGACTTTATCCTGCCTCTAGTCTCCCAATGGCTCTCCATTGTAGTTCTGCAGGCAAATGATGCCTGGCGATCATTGTTACGAATAGGCTATCTCAGATTTTTGATGTCACTATCACAGTCAAATATGTGGACTTGCTCTCAAATTTGAACTTTTATTCTCCTCGCGGATGACGTATTCCGAGCGCAGCGCCACTAATTTGCATATTGCAGTTTTACTCAGATACTCTTACTTGGCAACATATTCAAATTTTACATGGTTTGGCTTATTTTTGAGGGAGTTATCGCTATTTTTGTGATTTTTCCTTAATTTATGATAACCAGTGTATTTTCATTACATAAATTAAAAATCTACCAAACTTTCCAAAACAAAACAAACAAAATAAATAAATAAATAAATAAATAAAATTATACATAGCATATAACTCAGTGCACTTTTATTTCAAAATTTTTAAGGCATCAAAAATTAAGTGAGGCTTAAATTCAAAGCACAAATTTTAACATTTTATTTCTTAATAAATTAATAGCTTCCTACATAAGTACTTACTTAAGATATAAAAGTGTTTCTTATTTTTCAATAAATATTAAAATAATTTTAATTTTATCTCTATATTTCCAGTTTTTAAAGCCTAAGGCTGAAATTTGACACTGGCTTTTTATATCATTTAAAAAAGTTTTCAATATTCAAATCTTATTGCAACAAAAATTGCAAAACAAATAAGAATCGTCAATGGAATTCAATAAACAAGTACATGACTGATTTGTTTTATACTTAATTATATATTACTCTTTTTAAACTAATCTAGATTTCAAATTGGAATAACAAGGGAAAGAATTGATTTGCTTCATATTTTGTTCAGTTTATATTTATGTATCAAGATAAGATTCCAGATAGTAAAAGTAGGAAAAATAAACTTAACAAATATCATTAAAAGTATAATTAAAATTTTTAAAAAAAGGTTTCACAGGAAGATTATTTAGTCTCTTAACTGTCATGAGTGAATATATTTATTAGTACATCGAATGTCTTCTTTGACAGCAGATGTCATGAGTGGAGTGGACTTATACGACAGTGCACTACAATAATAATATAAGAAAAATGATAAAGTGGTGAAATTTTTTTTACCAGTTGGTGGAGATAATGACTTTCATTGCTTATATAATTTGTAAGACTGTTTAAAAAATTCTGAAAGCTTTCAGACCCTCCTGACATATACTATACTCTCTTGACAGGCATTTTCTAATACCACCAACATGGGGGGGGGGAACCTAACTGAATTCAATATTGCTTACGATGCAAGAGGGTCAAAAACACAGAGAATCATGATATGAGTGGGTTGATTGTAAGTTTTCAAAATGATTTAAAAATAAATTTATAAATGCAGATGAAAATTATAAATGTAATTTTCAGACTTTCAATTAGAATTTTCCCACTTATGTACATGAATGAAAAACTGGAAAGAAATTATCTGAATGTGTTTAATTTATATTTGCTTCATTTACTTCAGAAATCATTTACAAATTGTAGCCAAGAGCTATACACTACAAAAAAAAAAAAAAAAAAAAAAAAAAAAAAAAAAAAAAAAAAATCAAAATCTAGAATTTTTTATAATGAGATAATTTTTATAATGAGATTTAAATGGCTATAAATATAAGTATCAATTTTTATTATAATTGTACAAAAGTGTATCCTCTAGCTTCTGCTATTTAAATTTCTTACAGTGATTTTCATTAATAATATAATAAAATTAATTTTTTTTTTTTATTTTCAGGCTTTAGTATGCATAATAAAAAGTAATTTTTTCCTTTATTTTACCTTTTTTCCTTTTTATTACAACAATTTGATCTCATATGACACAAAATAAAATTGCAAAAATATGCATAAAAGAACTTTGCTGGTGGGGAATGTACATATTTACTAAACAATGTAACTGAATTCATTTTGAAATAAAAAAGATTTATACCACTATTAATATTTATTATACATGCAAATTTATTTAACTACGTGTAGTAATACAATATTAAGTCTTACCTTTTCAAAGAGCTTTTTAAGTTAAAAAGTAAACTAAACAATGGTTACTATTAAAATTATATCATAAAATGTGATCTAATCTTTGAACCAAGAAATTTGACAAAATTTAGTAAAATAAATCTTAATTAATCTTTTAGTCTTCTGAGATTTTTAATTTTTACCACTACCATACATTCAGCACATTACACACTTTATTGTTGGTCAGGAAACAGCAATCACATTTGAACTGTACTCACTGCCTTTTCTACAAATAACCAATATTTCTAGAATTTTCTGAAAATGTAAATGTCTGAGGCAAAGGCTATGGCAAAATCAATTAATTTTTATTTCTTCTCAGTGAATCCCCTTCATAGACACCAATATTTCTAGAGCTGTCTACAATATAAGAGTTATGAAAAAAAAATGATAAAAGTGTTTGTATTGTCATTGTAAATAATATATGGATGTGAAATTTCAAGAAAAGAAGTTCAGTAGAATTGGGTCTAAAACTGATTATTTAGACATTTTATCAGGAAAACATACAGAGAAACTATATAATTTAAAATGAATAAAAATGGCCATAGATTATTTATTTTAACTTTATAAAACTGCAGTTTTTTAAAAGTTAAACATACACACATACCAAAAAAAGGGGGGGATAGATGTTTTGTATATGGAGGGGAAAAAAAGATCAGTAGGCATAAAAGTGATCACAAATTCAAAATAAAGTATTCGTTAAATTAATTTGAGTGGAATATCCTACAACTAATTTGTTTGGCAATCACACATAAATCAGAGATATTTCCACATTTCTGCCTGTCTGACTCTCATGTGACAAAAATTGACTGTGATAGTTAATTTTAAGGTTTAAGATGATATTCAAAAGCTGTAGATGAACACTGAAGAGTGAGATGTTAACATTTGCATGTAATTAAAAATAAAATATCAGTTTAAATAAATGTGTCTGATGTTGACAGATTAACTGATGAGAATTTTTATGCAGATTGCCATGAAATGTATTGATTAAGACAATGTTTTTTAAAAAGGAGATCTTATTTACAGAATCTTAAAGAATCTGTACTCTAGAAAACTAGTAGCATTCAGAACTGACACACAGTCAACTTGTAGCATTATTAAATTAAAAATGAAAACTATTTATAATTTATTGAATTTTTTGTTATGATTATTAGATTATGACTCTAAAGTAATAAAAATTCATTAGAATATTACCACATTTTTAGCATTTGACAACTTATAATTGCTAGCATGAAAATTTTTGTCCCCATATGCAACAAAATTCTAAACTTAAGAGTATTACATATTACAAATCACAACACAACATCAATGAATGGCATTAAAGGGAAAAAAAAATTCAACCTTAAATTATCCTAATTTATTTTCTAACCGACTCATCTTACAAAGACAAGCAAAATGGGAAAAATACTTAATTCCTGTCTTTTTTATATGGAAATCACGATTTTAAAGTTTTATTTTTCCAGAGTATAAAATTTTCGTAAATATAAAGATAGAAGCCCATATAGCAAGTTAGATTTGTTATGGCAATTTTTTAGTTTAAATTATTAAGGCCAAAACATGAATATTTGTATCCTTTAAAACATTTTTAGAACTTGAAGTATATATCTATGAGCAATGGTTAAGGAAATAAAGACTGCACAATATATTTCGGGAACACAGCATTTAAACAGGGAACACAGCATTATCAATTAAACAAATTACTTCTTTACAAGCAAATTTGTACATGTACTTCATTTTCTTCTTAAAAAATTGCTTATTTTCATACTAAAATAATAATAAATTAAAATCATATCATGAGATTATAAATTCTACAACTGATGCACATATACAGATAAAAATATTATGATAGCACAAAAACAAGGATGTCTTATGTGTGTTAGGCATTCTGGACAAACTTAATATTTAACTTAAAAAGTAATATCATTTTAATGATTTCTATACTTATGGTATGTTAAATAAATAACAGAACAGGAAAGGAATCAATTCATCTGCTGATATGTGGGAGAAGAATACTAAAATATTCAAAATTATAAGTAGATTATAAATTAATCTACAAAGTAATTTTTCCACTACTCTAACTAAAACACACTTCTACAAATGCTCTCAGACTCCCAGTCCTGTTTCTGTTCAATAGGGTTGAAATAGATGTGGCCATTCATATATAGTAATGGCTTCCCTGGAAACATTTAGAGTTTTGGGCTTTTAATGACAATCTCAAAAAAAAAAAAAAAAAAAAATTTACTACATTTTCAAATTCTTCAGAAAATTCATCATATGTGACATTTTCAAATCTAACTGAGTGACTATCAGTTTCAAATTGCGATTTACATGAAATCTATAAAATAATAATTACGAAATATATGCCAAATATTTATATATTAATCTACAGCAGTATAAAGAAATGTAACTTACACTATTACCCATGCATTTCATGCAATATAACCAGTCAGCTGTTGTTGTCTATATCTCTAAATGTAGTGGTGGAGGTGTCTTGCTCTATATTTTGTTCTACGTCAACAGTAAGTCTCTGAGTTTCAGCTACTAAATCTGATATATCGACACTAAAAGAGAAAAAATTATGAAAGAAATAAGTTCCTTAAAAAGTACAACAGTATTTATTTATGTCGATATTTTATGGAACATTTTTAACTTAAAAATGTTAAATTGCATTTTAAATTTACAAGGTTTAGTCAAATCATTTGACAACTGCTAAAAAACTATAACAGACATTATTTCTTTCTGCATAAGTATATAATCTATCAAAAATAATACCTATAAACCCATTAAAGAAACCCATTAAATAATACCCATTAAAGAAATACTTCATTTTATTTATGTGCAGTTTCCTACCACAGATTTTAATGCTTTCATTTAACTAGTTGTTTAAGAATGCTAAGAATTTCATTAAATTTCACTTTATTATGGTAATAAATTTGTTAATTCACTTAATTTGTTAATTATGCAATGCATTTTTAGGCTAATTTAATGTTTCATTTCGTGAAAGCCTGTCGTGTAAGAATCATTAAATTAATAAAAAACAAGTGCTTTGAAAATCTATAACAATTAACATATTTCAAGGGTTCCAGCTGAGGAACAGTATTAATTTATCATAATATTATCCTACTTTGTTGTACAGTAATAGTTAAGGCTTGGAGTATTCCACTTTTGTGCTCTACTTCTTTTGAAACACAGCATATTTTAAACAGAACATGTTAAACAAAATTCAAAAAAAGAAAAGGGAAAAAGTGAGAAAACAAATGACATCATAATGAATGCTGGAAGAAAGAAAGAAGCTTTCTCTACCTTAGTTATATAGCATCTAGTTTGCACAAAAAGGCAGAGGAGAAGATCTCGAAAGAAATCTATATATCAATAATTTCAAATAAAGACTATTGCTGTGAGTTTTTCTCGCATTTATTTGCTTCACTACTGTATTAGCAATAATAACTTCTGTGCTTCTCTAGTACATACAGTTTGTTGATTTCTGAATGTCTTCTTTACACCACCAAAAATTAAGATTTCTATGTTTGTTTCAGTATGACTAGAATAATTCTGTACACAAGAAGCGATGTTTTTATATTATTATTATGTTACAGCTGTTGAATGCTCTGTTACGAATTAAAATGACAAGTTATTAATTGGAGACTGGGCAACATTATCTTTAATGCTAAATGTAAAACAAAGGAGAAAAGAAAATTAAAACTGAACAAGCAGTTGCATTTAAAACATCAAAGTTCCTTTTTCCAGAGGCGATAGTATAAAATCAAATCTCCAGATTGATACCCTCTTCAACATCCATTGATAACAAGTGCATTGTTCTTGATAAGCCAGTGCATGTCCTGTTCTCAACTATACTGAAGGTGACCCTCCATAGGTTCTTTTCTTTCTATAAAAGAACCATAGGTTCTTTTCATCTAGGAAAATGTCTTTAAAACTGGATAAGAGTGGGAAAAAAAATTGAATTGCAAAAGAAAACAAAGGCAATTAATACTGTCTTCAATGACAACTGAGTATGAGTTATTGAAAGAAATGAACATATCAAAGTTAACTGAATTTCTAACACAGGTTTTTCTTAAAACTGAATCATAAAGGGATCTTTTAGTTTCATTTTTTTAAATAAAAAAATAAACTAAGCTTCATTATGATTAGGATTACTAGCTATTACTTGTGCTACAAATCAATGGGATTATTAAACTGGCTTTGAGGTGGGTGGGAATTTCATAGTTTTCAGGACAATATTTGACCTGAGATCAAGATAAAAGCTACAAGCTCATAGCATAAATAACAAAGACGCGACTGAAATTAAAAACCTAATAAAATGTACTGCATGTTTCAATATCATTTTTGAAATTAAAGTATTTGCATTATATTACTAAATACTGAAACTGTTTTATTTGCCAACTTAATACATGCCTCGTAAAATCTCCATCCCATTCCAAACCATTACTGTTCGAAATCGGTGAAGACCTCCATGAGTTGTTAGTGTTCTCTGTTAGCACCATCCACTGGAGTTCCTCCGTAGCACCAATATTGGAAGAGGAGTTGAATCCTTTTGCAAACAGAGAGAAATGAAGCATGATTAACTTCCACCAACAAAAACAATTACAGAAACAAAAGAATTGATAGAAATAATATGTATTCAAAATAAAATGGCTTTTCCCCTTCCTAAATGCATTTAAAGCTTGTTTTTAAAAAATTAGAAGAAATTACATATAATAAAATTATAAACTTAAGTTCAAGAAGTTGCAGCACTATTAATACGGATTCAAATGGCTGATAAAAACGCCAAATTAACTTTAAAAAATTAATATTTCCTCTCAATGAATTTTTTGAAATTTAACTGAAAATAGTAATTAAAATAAAGATAGCAATAAACTTCCAAGGATTTCAAATAAATTGCTTTTAAGTTAAAAATTTACTTAAAAGGAGACTCATTTACATCCCCTAAAAACTGTTTCACTGAATAGACTTGATTAGACAGTAATATGATATAATGAAAATCTGAATAAAAAATTACGCTTTTCAAATGCGATAAAAGTTTAAGAAAATTAACTATCAAATGCATATTATCAATTATCAAATAAGTCATTATTATTGATAGCTAAAGATAATTTTACTTCATTTCACTAATCAATCACATTTTTATGCTAACCAATTTCATTTTCCCATTCCAAATCGACAGAAGATCCAGGAGTTGCTCCAAGGCTTAGTTGTTCCCATTTGTGGCTACCTGTAAAGCTACAGGTTTCAGCAAAAGAATTGTCTCCTGCAATGTGCAATACAAAACAGAATTAGGTACTTGTCAATTTTACCTGTGACCAGTGATTAATCATCAAGTTTGGCAGTGTTTATTTCTAAACAAAAGCAAACTCAAAACTATAACCAAAACCAAGTAATAAAAATAGTGAAGTAATTTTTCTATTTGTATATCATATACAGTACCAAGTCCATAATCCTGATATCCATTATCTGGAACGATCTATAATCCGGACCTCAAAGCCACAAACTTTTTTTTTGTATGCTTTAAGCATGCTCATTAACACATGCATGTTGGGAGGATGTGTCTCCAGATACGTTAAAAAATGCTTGGCATAATTTATGGCCAGCTACCATATTTCATGGTGAGGACGATGAAGATGATAGCTGTGAATTTGAAGGTTTTTGGACATTGCAAACTAAAAGTGAAATTTTCCAGTTATTGAATTTTGTAAAGAAATGCGGAGAAGCAATAATAAATGAAGATGATATAACAGAAGTTTTTCATTGCGACGGCAATGCCCCAATCATGAATCAATTACCGGACGGCGAAATCTGTAGTATGGTTCTAGATCCAGAAAATACCACTTCTGATAGTGAAGAAATTGACAGAAAGGTTATTGAAAACAAAAAAGTTTCGATTGACAAGTTAGTTGGTATTCTCGACACAGCAATTACAGGACTTGAACAATGGACCTTTGTAACTCAACAAGAAATTATGTCTGTTTATAGAATTAAAGAGAAAGTATTAGCACAAAAACAAAGCAACTTAAACACCTTACATTGAAAGAAATGTTTAATAAAATAAACAAATATATATTAAGCTTTTTTTTTTGTAAATTTTGATACCCTTTAGATCATAATTGCTCTTTATTTCATAAATTACGGTTTCATATTTTTAATTGTATAATTTCTGCATGCCATCTTACCAGATTTAAATTGATGATCTATAATCCGGAAAAACCCCTAATCCGGAATCGCCGAAGTCCTGATGAGTCTGGATTATGGACTTTGTACTGTATATAGGTATACATGTAAAATATAAAAAAATACGATGGCTTTGCTCTACGTGAACAGGAAACCTTTAAGTATCTTTCCGCAATTTCAAGATCTCCCCCCCCCCCGAGACCATTACTTTCGAGAACATTCTGGCATGTTATGTAACCGCTACTATAAATGAAGAGTTCAAGATATGTTTCATCAAATTGCTTTTCTCATCCTTCCACTTAAGACCTTTGCTGCTGCTCTTCCTATCTATATTTGTTTGAAAAATATGACGCAGAAAGTTTCATCCTATTTAGTCTAAATTATTATTGCATATGTAATCTTGGAGAACATAAAAGAATAATAATTTGCCATTTGAACTGAATAAAGATGTAGAATCAAAACAGCTAACTGCCTGTGTATCATCATTTCATGCCAAGCTTCATGAGAGTGCCTGACTGCCAAAATATGACATATATATACAGGATGTTTCATAGATCTTGGGACAAACTTGGAGGGGTGGTGGATCATACCAAAACATGAATTTTTTTATAGGAATGTAGGGTCTAAAGTGACGGGTTACAGCAGAAACACAAAAAAACGACATGAGAGGAAAATGTGTTTATGACAAAATCAACGCAAAGTGCTTCTTTGTAGCAATACAGTATTCACAATAAATGTTCAAAATTGTGACTACCAGCAGTAAAACATGCTTGGTAATGTCGCAGAAGAGATTGACGAACACTTTGAAAATGACAAGCATTTCCTGCACGCTTGCAGCCGCAACGGATAGTCATGCAACGAGGTCCTCCAGTGAGTCAATGGGAGTTTCATAAATGATGCTCTTCAGATACCCCCATAAAAAATCCAAGCTGGATAAATCTGGCGAACGGGGTGGCCATCGAACAAGTCTACCACGGCCAATCCATCGGCCCGGAAATGTCCCATCCAAGTAATTGCGAACCTACACGTGGTTAGAGGCTCGTGCACCATCATGCTGGAACCACATGCGATCACAAACAACAGGTGGAACATCCTGCAGCAATTCCGATAGCTCTTCTTGCAGAAAAATGATAGCATAAGCCATTTGTACGTGCAGGAAAGAGGTATGGGCCTATGAGGTAGTCATTAAAAATACCCACCCACACATTCACGGAGAAGCGGGTTTGGAATACATGTGGACGTGTGCCATGGTGGATTATGATTTGCCCACATGTGCATGTTATGGCTATTGAAGATGCCATCCTGTGGGAAAGTTGCCTCGTCTGTGAATAGCACATCTGATGGGAAATCTGCCTGCACCGCACACTGCTGCAAGAACCAATGACAGAAATGAACTCGAAGAAGGTAATCTGTCTCTTGCAAGGCTTGGACTCTCTGAAAATTGTATGGATGCAAACCATTTTCATGCAATACTCTCCAAACGGTAGAATGACTCAGCTGTAGACGATGTGCAATAGCTCTTGTACTTATCTGAGGTGATTCATGCGCAATGTTCAAGATGGATTCTTCAATGTGAGGTTGTCGTGCACTTCTTCCATTCCTAGTGTCAGAGGTGGCTTCAAATGACCCATCTTCACACAGAGACTGATGCAACCTCTCGAACATTGTGTGCTTTGGCATACGCCTGTTCAGAAAACGTTCCTGGTACAACCGTAGCGCTGCTCTGCCATTCCCATTAGCAGCACCATACATGAGAAGCATGTCAGCTTTTTACCAATCATGCTCGACGTCAGAATTGCAAATGATCCCTTGATGCATCAGATTGTGGCTTGTCCAGCTCACTACCGCCCTCTACCGCAGCATTGCCAGCCAATCACAGCTGTAGTTCCTATTACTGTTAGAGTTCCCTTTTCTGAACATTTATTGTGAATACTGTATTGCTGCAAAGAAGCACTTTGCGTTGATTTTGTTCATAAACGCATTTTCCTCTCGTATCTCCCCCCCATTCCTGCCTTAAACCATCATTTTAGACCCTATATTTCTATAAAAAAATGCATGTTTTAGTATGCTCCACCACCCCTCCAAGTTTGTCCCATGATCTATGATGAAACAACCTGTATATATATATATTAATCCAAATGCTGACAGTTTTTAATTTACTATGAAGTGAAATTGAAGCTGTTTTACCCTCTATTTGAATTTGTGAAAAGAGGCATGAAATGAAGTTATATACCAATGCAGAAGCCTTAGGGAGATGCAATGTGAAAAACTTTCACACCCATATTTAAAGCAGTTGTACCACTCATACACTTTTGTTCTTGACAATGATGCATCACCATGTAATGTTCGAAACATCGCTAATGTTTTGGTAGCATACTTACATAATTTGTAAAAACAAATTTACAGTTATAATATAATTCCACTCCGAAGAATTTTTTTGGGGTACAATTTCTTCTAAATAAATGAAAATGACTTCAGTGTTTTGGTATGAAAATGGCAAAATAACCAGTTTAAACTGGCTTTAACCCTTTCAGGATGGGCGTCCCAAATACACATTCCCTAAGAACGTCTCTTAGGCCGAGCGTCTCAACCACACATCACTACAGATTGCATTCAGAGGACAGGTGATACATATATGCATTTTAAGTCGGAACGTTTTTCTGAAGACGACTAGATGGCATCCTATGTCCATTACTTTTGAAATGAACACAGTTTTAGGTTGCTGACCTTGAGTTTGACAGATTCTGCCTGACTTTGGTATTTTACTTATCATCTGTTGCGAAGGTGAAACGGAAAGCGAAACAGAGGTGGGCTCTTTAAATCATGGCGTACTAATATAAACATTCGTGTGACTAATATTTATATCCAAGTCCTTTTTTTATTCTATTTTTTCCTCTACCATGTACGGTCTTTTAGGGTTACTATGCAGAACTCTATTACATTTTGCATTACCTTCAGACAAATTTCGGGTTCTCCTCTTTTTATTTCGGAAAGCCTCCCCTCCAGTCTATTATGGCGTGAAGGCGCTATTTTCCAGAGGAAGATTACACTCACATGGTTAATGAACCATTTACTAACACAGATGAGAGTGATGATTCATTTTCTAAAGAGTTAGAAAGTGATACTTCTCCGTGCTTCGAGATTTACCACACTCAGTCTTCATTTTAAATTTTGTTACTTCTTACTGTAAATAGTCTTTATTGTACTGTTTTATTAATTTTAAACTTTATTGATACATTTTATCAATTAAAACTTTGTTATAATTTGAATAATGCTTCCGAAAATTATTTTACAAGATAAGCAATTTTTTTAATATATTTTTATGTAAAATAAAGAAAAAAAAAGGTTATTATATGCTAATTTTAACATATATAAGAGCTCAAGTAATAATTTAAAATGATACCAAAAATTACGATGCTAGAAGTGAAACTTTTTTTTTCTGATTTTTTTTATAAAATTAGGCTTGTAATGTATTTCATACAATAAATATAGAGGCGATGTAAAATCTCCCGTCCTGTACGATGACTGCCTTCAATTCCCTTCCATCCCGCACGAGCGTCTTAAACAAAGGTGCGCCATCACGAAAGGTTTAACAAGAGCTGAGATATCACTCTTTCTAAACAAGTATTTATTCTTTCTCTTTTTATTTTATTGTTAAATCTTTTAATTTGCCTCGTTACTTTATGGGCGCACCTTGTACACTGCTGAAAAAAAAAAAAATGGGACAGTCCTATATCTCCCGATCTACTGGGCCGATTGACAAAATTCAAATTGCGTTCTTCATGTCTTGAAAGCGCGACTTAGGATATATATTAGATTTATATATAGCACTATTCTAACATAGGTATTTTGACACAAAATCGGACTTTTTCTGAAATAACATACCAATTTTTTTACATATTTCGATTCTACGACTCAAATTACCCTTAAATATGAAATTTTGTAAAATTTGGAGCGAAATTTACGGAGAAATTCACAAATTTATGTTGGCACTTTTTTGTCAGTTTGTGCCAAGAATACTTTACTTGGCGAACTTCTTAATATATGGCAACCTAGTTTCCTTTCCCGTGAGAGGAAAAAAAA